ACCCGTCTAGCGAAACAGTTGGCCTTTTCCCCCTTTGTCTGAAAAAGAAAATAAGGGGTGTCTGTGACGCTCGTCGTCAGAAAATTTGAAAATCGCGCCTTTTTTCCGGGTTACTCGGAAATTCAAGACGTTCACATTGCGAACCGAACTTTGTCTGTTTTGACTATGCAGTATGCGTTTCTCCTCCTTTGAAAAGCTCATTGTGTTCGTTTTTCTCGTTGAAAGTTGATATTTCAAACGTTTCATCTTGTTTTATCACAAACAACTACTCGGATCAGGTAAAACATGAATTACTTCTGAATGAATGGTTTAGGCATGAGTTGCTCCGTCGATTTTGTTCGAATTTAACGAGAAGGGTGCAAGTATGAAAAGTAAACAGATATATACGTATTTATATTTGTGAAAACTCGTTGGAAGTTCAAGTGCACATCTATGGAAATTTCACTTCTGATGGATGTAAGATTCTGATTGTTTGCATGTGGCCGTTAATTAAGTCTCTAACTTCATATCTGGATGGAACTTATGCCTTATTGGACTTTACCTGAACGGGATTAGCTCATTTTACGGTTATAAATATTCGTTTGTTGTTTGTGTAATGACAGAATTAATTTCTTGCAGATTTGGTTTGTAAGCAGTCATTTTTTTCGTTAGCGAGGGTTTTGATATCGTTTATAGTGTTAGGCGATACCAAAACCTTCTGTATCGGCAGGCAAGCTACAAGATAGCCAAGAAAAGTTTTTGCTAGATGCATCTTTCGTATTTTATTGTTAGACAACGAAATACAGTAGTTGACATTCCGATTAATGAAGTTTATGTCGAACTGGGAACGAATCGTTGTGCACTCTTTCTTTTGGGTAATTCTCAGATATTTGAGATATTTTTGGAAATTCAGGTCGAGCCCGGGTTTGCTTCTTGGGAGCGCCAGTTGGTTTTGTTTCCCTTCTAGGATCAACGTTCGAGCAAACGAATTTCAGTTCGTTTTGAGCAGAAGTTTCCATTTTTAGGCTGTTTTCTATGTTATGGTTAGGGGTATTTGCGGTTCTCATATTGCGATGTAGGCTGTGGAGACTTCTTTAGTGAAATTTTCCGATAAAATTGATTTCTACGTTCATAATTGCTCTTCTTTATCCACTTCTCATTGGATTACTTGCTTGATTGCCATCGGAATATGTACGGATTATGTTGCACCTGTTCTACACTGACGCCTCTCTGAAAATGATTGTTCCAGTCAAATTGGGATAAAATGGCTCCCCCAAAGAAAGGAAAGCAAGACAGAAAGTCAAGAAGTGCTATGAGTAATGTGGTCACTCGAGAATACACCGTCAATCTGCATAAACGCATATTCGGAGTGTGAGTTGTTGCTGATATTGTTTCTCACACCTCAGATATTTTATTCTTGTAATTCCTTTTATTTTTGTAATTTTTGACGATTCAGCAGCCCTGATCAGTTACATAGTTGATTGTGACGGTTTGCTTATTTTGTATTTGCAAACAATTGTAAAGTTTATTTGTATATGGCTCTTTATCGTCAAACTTTCAGTGTATGTATAATTTGTGGCTGTTTTCAGAGGCTTCAAGAATCGTGCACCACGTGCAATTGATGAAGTGCGTAAGTTTGCAGAGCAACAAATGGGAACTAAAGATGTTCGCATTGACACACGACTCAATAAATTCTTATGGTCGAAGGGAATCAAGTAAATTTTTGTTCATTTCATTCTTAAGCTTTTCATTCACTTCAGTAATAAGCTACATGTAACCTTTGCCTTGAAAGAAAGTGATCGTTTTTAATGCAAGATGTTAAAGATGTTAAAATTCTGAGGATGTTAAAGTTCTGTGAAATATACTATCACAATGATAAGGTGGCAGAACAAGTAAAAGTTGATCGTTGAACAATTATATGAAAATAAATGTTCTCTTTTATTTCGAGCCTTCATTCTCCTCCATCTCGTAAATGAATTGAATAAATTCCAGGAACGTACCATACCGAGTTCGTGTTCGTTTGGCACGTCGTCTGAATGATGATGAGGACTCACCCTATAAACTCTACACCTTGGTAACGCACGTGCCAGTGACAAGTTTCAAGAAGTTGACGACAATGAATGTTGACGGTGAAGAACAGTAAAAAGATCGATTCTGGACATTTTCATCGTTGTTGTTGTTATATGTGAATTGTTAAAAGTGAATCCTCTATACAAATACATTATTTGTTTGTGCATCTGTTGTTCTCGCAAAACAATC